ACGCCTCTGGGGATCCGTTCGACGTGAGCTACGGTGGTGTAAGTCCTTGTTGGTCCTATGCTTTAGAAACGCAGGTAGGCCTCTCTCAAAGGTGGTTTCTTGTGTTGATGCCTCATGGTGGGGGGTTGGAATCACTGAGAAGGATTTCACACACGATCAGGTCGTCGAGTTGTCGTCCTTCAACGAGCGATGGAGGTTTGGGCGAGACAACGAGAAGTCGATGCCTCCCCGAGCCTTCGACATCGGCATGTGGGAGGATGAGACCGAGGAGACCACGACGAGTGCGGGGTTCGGCGAGCCCCACCATGTCCTGAAGGCCTCGCACGGCCTGCTGTTCGAGGAGCCCATCAAGGTCTTCCCGAAGCCTCCGGAGGCCAAGTTCAGGAGCGTCTCGAAGGAGGTCTGGGGTGGCGTCTGGAAGCGTGTCCTTTCGAAGCCTTGGGGGCGCGAGGAGCCCCAGGTCATCTTGGAAGGCAGGGCTCTGGTCAGCTGTCTAAAGCATCTTCTTCGGAGCTCTCGGAATTTCAGACACACTCATGTCATCCTAAATGACTCTATGGCCCCGTTGCTGGCTTTGCTCAAGGGTCGGTCCTCATCGGCGCCACTTCAGCGAGTATGCCGTCAGGTGGCAGCGTTGGCTCTGTGCAGTGGCTGTGGCGTTGTCTGGCGCTGGGTACCTTCCGAGCGCAACAGTGCTGACGCAGCCTCGCGTAATCGACCTGGCCTTACAGCTGAGGCGGATCGCGCAGCCGCCGGAGATGCCAGGCGCAGCAGCCCTTGTTCAGGCGGGGGGCGGCTTGCCGAGAGGTCGGGGCGGACCAGGGACCAGCTTGGCCGCGGCCTCGACTCGCCGCCGCCCGGCCTCAGCCTCGGCGACGAGCCTCGCGTGGAAAGCGACCGCCGAGCCGCCAGGCGCCTGCAGCGCCGCCAGGGCTACAGCCGGGACGTCGTCCCGAGGCCCGGAGCGGGTCACTCGTTTCTGGAGCAGGAGTCGGTGTCTGCCGCCACCCGCCGGGACTACCAGAGGAGAGCTCACGACTTTTACCTCTGGGCGGAGCACTCGCGCTTGGTGACGGTGACCGAGGAGCAACTGGACGAGACCCTGGCGATCTACTTCCACGAGCAGTTCTTGGAGGGGGGCGAGAGCACGGACGCGTGGAAGTTGTTTGCGTCGCTGGCCTTCGAGGGCCGCCACCTGGGCTTGAAGTGCAGCAGTCTGCCGCGTGCGACCCGAGCTGCGCGAGGATGGCGCAAGCTGGCTCCACCTCGGTCGAGGCTCCCGCTGCCGTGGGCTGCCTGCTGCCTTGTCATCCGCCATCTCATCCAGGCCGGACAGCGAGTGCTTGCGGAGCTCACGGCCGTGGCCTTCGCCCTGTACCTGAGGCCTTCGGAAGCGCTCTCCCTGACTACCAACAGCCTGGTGCCCCCGTCGGTGCTTCATGGAGGCCCACGCGGGACCTGGATCGTGACGCTTCATCCAAGGGAAGCCGGGGTGTCCAGCAAGACGGGGGTGTACGACGACTCGCTGCTGGTAGACAGCCCCGCCTTTCCTTGGCTGCCCGGTCTTTTCCAAAAGCTGCTGCGCGAGCGTCCCAAGAACAGCCCTCTCTTCCCCGTGACGCACAGCGAGTGGAACGCCAAGTTCGCCGCCGCAGCCAGGGACAGTGGTCTTCAGCCGTTGCTGCCACTGACCCTTCACCAGCTCAGGCACGGAGGAGCGAGCCACGAGCTGCTGGTCCGGGCCCACACCCAGGACGAGGTGAAAAAGAGAGGTCGTTGGGCCACAGATCAGGCCGTGAGGCGGTGCGCCAAAGGAGGACGGATTCAAGAACAGTTGAACATGCTCCCACACCACATTCAAGGCACCGCGAAGCGAAGCCTCGATACGATTGGCGCCGTCCTCTGCGCGACCTAGCTCGTTTTGTGAACGAATCTGGGCAGCAAGTCATGTTAGAAGTCTTCAGTGGGAGCGGCAACCTTTCTCGGTCGCTTCGGTTAGTCCTGAGGGGGACCGCCTGCTTCGAGCTCGACATTGTTCATGGCGCCGCTGCCGATGTTTTGTCTGGTAGAATTCAGAAGCTGATCAGGGGTTGGGTACGCAGCAGAATGCTCCTAGGGGTGTGGATAGCTACTCCGTGCCAATCAATGTCGCGGGCTCGTAATCGGCCGAATGGACCCCCGCCGCTTCGAGACGCTCAGCACCCCCTCGGACTCCCGCGCCTGAATCCCGCCGACTGTCTGAAGGTTGCCCGTGGTAATCGTCTAGCCCGCTTCAGCTTTCGCCTCTTTTCCCTGTGCAGATCCCTTAGAGTCCCTGTAGTTATCGAGAATCCTTCAACCTCCTGGCTTTGGAGTCTCCCAGGGGGCCCAAGGGCTTGCCCGTTCCAGTAACGTTCTGGATCTTGATGTCGATTTTTGCGCTTTCGGAACCCCGCGGCGTAAACGAACTCGCCTTCGATTTTGTCATCTCGACCTTGCCGGGCTCAAAGGGGCCCGCTGCCAAGGCCGCGGCGTTTGCAGTTTTGCAAAGTGCCCGCACAGGGTGCTTGAAGGAAAAGACAGTTCCGGGCGATTTCTTACCCACATCGCCGAACCATATCCCAGAGGGCTATGTGTAGAGCTTAGTAGAGCCTACAAGCAAGCGTTGCGAAATAAAGCTTTCTGTACTTTAACTAGATATGTGGCCTGACGGCCAGTGTGAAAGTTTCGCAAAGTGTCAGTGTTTGCGCTCTAGTTCGGAGTTGTGATTGCCTCGCGGTGAATACCCGTGCGAGGCTATGGCATCTAGATGCGAGCGGCTCTGGGCCGCAATCACACAGATTATCAGCATGGTCTGTCTGTAGCAAAAGTGCTGTGAATCTGCAAGGCTGGCGCCCAGGAATCCGCCAAGCATAGATTGCTCTGGCGTGCCTGGTGTTCTCTGCGAGTCAGGATGAGAGGGCGCCGTTGCGACCGTTGTTGCATCACTGCTCAAGCTTCCCTCCCTCGGTTCCCTTCGTCCCACCCTACTGTTAGAGCCTTTCTACACTTGCACTGGAGTTGTGATTGCCTCGCGGTGAATAGTTACCCGTGCGAGGCTATGGCATCTAGATGCGAGCGGCTCTGGGCCGCAATCACACAGATTATCAGCATGGTCTGTCTGTAGCAAAAGTGCTGTGAATCTGCAAGGCTGGCGCCCAGGAATCCGCCAAGCATAGATGTATTTATTTGTATGTCCCTGGGCCCTTCCAACTGAGTTCTCCACGGTCTTGGGCACGCTGGCGCGCTTGGAGCAGCTGCAAGTCTCTGCTTCCGAGTTGTTTTGCGCTGTATCGGGACGTATTCTCGAGAGCATTGGGGAAGGCTACCCGCTTACTTTTACCAGATTCCATGCAGGGCAGGCTCCCTGACGCCCACCTTGCTCGTCAGTGCGCTGTTCTTGTCTTGGCTGCTCTCCGGGCGCCCTTTGGCATGGCATGGTGGCGCTCGCGGGCCCGCCAGCAACGCGTGTCTCGAGTCGCCCAAGCGATGTTTCTCAGCTCTCGGACTCATTGTCCATCGCCTTTGGCAGACATTGTTGCTGACATGCGTCATCCGGATGTTCATCGCGCGTGGAACTCATCCTGAATATGTTGGTTTTCCATGCCGCCCCTGACTGCGGCAATGGTTCATGCAGGCACCGCGGAGGCGGCCATGACGCAGCATCATCTGACATCATGGTTTTTGATCAAGGTTGCCGTTTCCCTGGGCTTGGATTTATCCACGTCGTCGGAAACCAAGTTACGGTTCGAGCGTTTCAGAGGCGAGCGCCGCTTGAGATAATATAGCAGCGGCAAGTGAGCTTCCAGTGCTAGGTTTTTGAATGTTTTGCACCATGTCCGCCGCCTCCAGGACGACGGCGCCCTTTTCCCGTCCCAGCGCAAGCGTTATTATACAGATTCCCTCCACAGTCTGTTTTCGATGTTTTTTAATCCTTAATTGCCGCGGCTACGCATTCATACGATTTGGATTGTTGAGGCCATCGCCGTAGATATGGTCAAGCTGTTGTCGAACGTTGCCACCGCCGGGACCATCAACATCGTCGGGCAGGCCTTGCATCATTAGTGCGGGTGATGGAGGCAACATTGAATAGGAGGTGTTTTACCCGACGTCTACTATTCGGTATTGCCCACCCGTCTGAGCATTGATGGGATATGCAAGTCTCGGCATCTAAGCGTCCCAAACTAGTCTTCCTGGCGTGTCCTCGCTCGCCCTCCTGTCGCCCGTCGCCCAGCCTCGCCCCTTCCTCGGCCTCTCGTCCCCGCTTGTCGTGCGTCCCTCTCTGCCGCCGTGCGTCCTCCCCCTTTTTCCCTTCTTGATCGTAGTGTCGCTGGGAGAACGCGTCTCCGGCCAGCGTGCGCGTGTGCCTGCACAGGACTACTCGGCCGGCCCCAGCCAAGCGCGAAGTGATGGCAAACATCGTTGCAAGTTGCAGTTGACTGTGTGCACCGTCGCGGGTACGATTGGAGCAACCATTTTCTCAGGAAGGGGCGGGCCTTCTTGGAAGGCTCGAGAGTCCTCCGGCCTTTGAGAAGTGTTCTAGGCCTTCCCCGAAGACGCCGAAAACTTCTCAGAAGGCGCGAGGGTTTCTGAGAAACCCCGCCGCCTTCTGAGAAGGCCTTCTCCGTTTCGCTCCCCCCCCTCGCTCGCCGCCGAGACGGTGTTACTGAATGCTGCCATCGGCCGCAGCGCCTGCAGCACGCGGCCCAGCTCGGGCGCGGCCTGACCGACTCCCAGCAATCCATCCCCTTCCGTGACTCCACCCTCGCCTCTCAGGCTCCCTTCCGTAGAGGGAAAAGACCCACCCCCATGAGAACCCCACACCGACAAGCGAGGCCGCTCAGCAGACGCACCCCAAGGAGGGGCTCGAAGAGGGCAGGGCCTCTTGGTGAACGCCCAGGACCCTTCAGCAGACGCCCTGGCCTTTCCAACCTTCCCCCCCCTCGCTCGCCGCCGACTGCGGGCGGCCAGCTCTCCGAGGCATGCCCGATGGCCTGCGGCGCCGCGGGGGGCGGGCCGACTCGCCGGCGGACGCGGGCGGCGGGCGCCCGCGGGAGGCGGCTCGGCCCGCGGGGGGGGGGCGGCGCGGCGGGAGGCCCGTCGCCGCGGCGGGGCGCGGCTCGAGGGGCCGTCGCCGCGGCGGGGGCTCGGGCCGGGCGAAAAAGGAGGGGATTGGGAAAGAAAGGGGGGGGGGGCGAAATCTGCTGCATGCAGCTGGTGTCGGCCTCACCGAGGGCCCATGAGGGGTATACGACATCTGCTGCGTGCAGCTGGTGTCGGCCTCACCGAGGGCCCATGCCTCGATGCATGGGCGCCTCCGGCGCCGGGAGGCGCCGGGAAAATCAGCCACGTGAGCTGATTCTCAAACCCCCCTCTCTGCTATCCCCCCCTCTCGCCCGACCCGAGGGGCGCGGGCCAGAGGTACGCCCCCTGAGATCCTTCAGTTCAGCGATCTGGCCCCTGAGCGTCTCCATGCGACTGGGAAGGCGAGGATTACTGAACTGATGGATTTCGACGTCCGGGCATACCAGAATCCATCAGTTCAGTAATCCTCGCCTCCCCAGTCGCCATGGAGACGCTCAGAGGCCAGATCGCTGAGCTGAAGGATCTCAGGGCCCCAGGAGGGGTCCGTCGAGAGGGAGGATCAGAGAAGGGCTTGGCGATTTCGTGGGCCGTTTTCGTGTCGATGGCGTTTTGGCGCGGAGGCGGGGCGATGGCAAAGCGAGGGTGAACGAACACAGGATGAAGACGGAAAAGGACCGTTTAGGTCGAGTCGTGGATCAGGGGAGGACAAGGTACCGCTACGGCTACCCTTCGCCTGGTTTCCCCTCTGGTAGGCCTCCTGGAAGGTCCTCGTCGCCACATCTGGATTCGACTCGAGATTCTGGTCAGAACGCTTTCTGGGATAGGTCTGGGAAGTACCTGTTGGCTTCCCCAGACGAGAGGTTCTAGGCCTCCCAGGTGGGGTCCGAGTGGGTGGGGTCGGACGTTCGCGCCGGCTCGATGCGGAGCCCAATGTTCTCTACACGGAAGTCGCCGCTTTATCGCCGGCGTTGCCGATGTATCGGCGATGCACTGGCGATGCGGTGTGACCTTTCGACCCCTCTACTCGGACCCCATCTGCTCGGACCCCGTCTGGGAGGCTTCAGCAGGGAGGGAGGAGGGGTACCGATGGCACGGTCGCGCTGAGAGTTCGTTGGCGTGCTGCTCCTCCTCGACGGCACGCTGCCGTTGAGGGTTCGTCAGCGTGCTGCGCCTCCCGTGGCTGTCCGAAGGCCTGGTGGGTCTGCAGCAGCGAAGCGCTGATGGGTTCCTCACGGCGGCGCGTCTTCGATACAATTTCTGCCCCCCCAGTCTGGGAGGGGAGGAGGAGGAGGAGGGGGAGGAGGAGGAGCAGGAGGAGGAGGGGGAGGAGGAGGAGGAGGAGGAGGAGGAGGAGGAGAAGGAGGAGGAGGAGGAGGGGGGGGGGGGGCTTGGCTCGGAAGCTGGGCAAGGGCTGCTAAATCCGCGGCTGCTAAAGCCGACCTCCGGGAAGACGCCTTCGTCCTTTCGGGAAGAGGCCCGTGGACTGTTTCGCGTGCCGCGCCTCATTTCGGGAAGCTGTTTTTTCCTTCCGGGAGGGCCGTTTTGGCAGCCACGGTTTTAGCAGCCTTCGCCCAGCTTTCGGGTGGCGCCCTTCTCCCAGGCCCCTCTGGGCGGATCGAGGTGCTCCGGGTCGAGCTCTCCGTGGTTCGAGGGCAGCGGCGTTTTCGGCACTCCCGTGGAGCTCGCGGTCGAGGCGAAGCGACCTCGGCGACGACCACGGCAGCGGCGGACGAAGATCGGCGAACGATGGCGACGGCGGACGAGAGACGAACGACGATCGCGACCACGACCACGACCATGACGACCCCGACGTCGACGATTCCGACGACGTCGACTGCCACGACGACGAGGGCCACCAGGTGGTGCCCAGCGCGCCCCAGCCCTCGCCGGGGCCCGAGGGCGAGGCCTATCAGTCGCTGCTGAAGGCCCGGGATGCTCCCCTGTCTCATCCCTCGGATCCCCGTCGTCCTCTCCCGGCAGCTGCTGCTGTTGTTTTTCATTCAGTCACCGGGGTTCGAGGGCCAAAGTTCCATGAGGTTGTTTGTCGCTTTCGGCCTGCCTTTCTGGGTTCCAGGGCCTTCAGCAATCGATCCGTGTCAAGCAGCTTGTCAGGATGGAGGTCATGGAGTCGATTTCGAGCCGACGTTTCCTTCCTTGGATGCCCTCCCTGGTCATTGGATGCTCTCTGGGTGTCGCTCTGACGTGTGATTTTCTTATTGTGTTTGCGTATCTTCATGGATGTACTCGCTTCACTCGGGCACGAGAGTGTTTCTTATTAGTTGAACTCTTGACGTCGGTTACTGGGGGTCGCCCCCCTTCCCCCCACCAAATTGGTAACGAACGTACGCGTGGGTGGTGCCGTCACCCCCTCACGTATGGCGCTACGCTTAGAGGCGT